CAACTAACCAGCACTTATTAAGCACCTACAATGTGCAATGCACCATGATAAACACTACAGGTAACAGGGACAAAAATGTGCTAGATGCTGGTATAAAAGGATAAAAAAAATAAGCAACATATACATATGTAAGGCTTCATGTTGAAAATGTTACTTGAGCCAAGTCTGAAGGAACTGAGACATTCTCTGAAGTGGAGATGGGAAGGAATGGCATTCTGGGAGTGTGGGATGGCTAGTGCAAAGGCATGGAGAAGGGAGATGGGATGTCATGTGTGAAGAAGAGAGAAAACCAATTTGACTAGATCTCAGAATGCAGAAGTGTGAATGTGTGAAGCTCAAAAAAATGGGTTGGCTACATCCAAAGAAAGAACTATGGAGTTTGAATGCAGATCGGAGGACACTATTTGCTATTTTTTTTTCTTCCATTGAGTTTTGATTCCTCTTTCTGGTGGTTCCTCCTATTGGTTCTAATTCTTACTTATAATATCACTAATGTGAAAATGTTTAATAAGAATGTATATGTATAGCCTATATCAGATTGTGTGCCATCTTGGGGAGGGTAGTAGGGAGGGGGAGAAAAATTTTAAACTCAAAAGCATATGGAAGTAATTGTTGATAAACCAAAATAAATTAATTTAAAAAAATAAATTATTGCAACCCTAAAAAAAAATGGGTTGGGGCCAGGTTGCAAAGAACTTTAAATGACAGAGAAATTTCTAGTTTATGCTAAAGGCAATGAGTTTATTGAATAGGAGATTAACATGGTTAGATCTGTGTTTAAGTAAAAATCACTTTGGCAGCTTTGTGGAGGATGGATTGGAATGGGAAGAGGCTGGAGGCAGAGAGATCAATTAGGAGGCCATTGCAGTAGTGGAAAAGTGATGAGGGCCTGAACTAAGGTGGTGGCTATGTGAATAAGAAATGGTTGGATGCAAGAGATTGTGTGGAGATAGAAATAGTAAGATTTGAGAACCACCTGGTATTTTGGATAAGGGAAAGGAAGAATTTAAGACTGATAACAAGGTCACAAAACTGGGATGATGGAAGCTTGGTGGAGGCCTTAACAGAAGTTTGCAAGAGGGTTGTGTTTAGGGGGAAAGAAAATGAGTTTGTTTTGAATATGGTGAATTTAAGATGCCCATGGGATAGCTAGTGTGAAATGTCTTAACAGGCAGTTGTTGATGCAGGCCTGGGACTCTAGGGAGAGGGTTCTGGGAGTCATTTGTGTAGGGATGGAAGTTAAATCCATGACAGTTCTGACTGCAGTAACAGCCACAATGTGCAAATACTAATTTTGACAGACTCATCTCCTCTCAGCAATGCAAGGATCTAAGACAACTCCAAAGGTCTCATGATGGAAAATGACATCCACATCCAGAAAAAGAACTATGGAGTCTGATTGCAGATCAAAGCACATTATTTGATATCTCTTTTTTGTTTGTTTCTTTTCTCAGGGTTTTTCCATTGGCTCTAATTCTTCTTTACAACATGATTAATGTGAAAGCAAGTTCAATATGAATGTATATGTAGAGCCTATATCAGACTGCATGCTGTCTTGGGGTAGACGGAAGGGAGAGATGGGAGAAAATTTGGAACTCAAAATTTTATGGAAGTGAATGTTGAAAACTAAAAATAAATTAATTTTAAAAAAAAGTTCTGGTTGAAATGAGATGGTGAAGAGAGAATTTTGAGAGAGGATTAGATAATCCAGCATAGAGCTTGGGGTGTGATATGGATGATAAGCCAGCAGAGGAGATGAGGATAGAGTGGTCAGACAGGTTAGACGAGAAACAAGAGAACAGTGGCACCAAAGAGAACAGCCAGGAGGAGAAAGCTGTTAATATCAAATGAAGAGAGAGATATAGAAGTATGAAGACTGGGAACAAATCCTCTGCTTTGACAATTAAGAGACTCCGGATGACTTGGAAGAGCAGTTCCACTTGAGTGATGAGGTTGGAAATCAGATTGCAGAGTTAGGGAGAGAGTGAGAGCAAGAGGAAGCAATGGGTATAGACAGCTTTCTTTAGGAACTTGGCTGAGAAAAGGAGATCAGATGCAGGAAACTAGCTTAAGGGGATGACAGGATCTAATGAAAGTCTTTTTGAGGGTGGAGAGTCAGGCATGTCTGAAGGTAGTAGGGAAGGAACTAGTAGATAGAAGTTGAACATTAGAGGTAAGATTGAAGGGGCAGCTTATTGGAATGATGAAGAACGAAGAAATGAGATGGGGTGAAGGGTACATGTAGAGAAGGGAGTGGGGGTTGATAGATGTCAAGGGCTCTTGATAGGAGGTCCTGTCACATGGCTTGACTTTTCACAAGAGGCCATGTGACAGGACATTACATAAGAGGACATTTGACAGTAAGAGGCCAGCTCAAGTGAGAGTGTGGGAGGGAGGGAAAGGTGTGGGAGGTTTGAAGAGAGGAGGTTTGGAATAATTTCTATGGAGAGTGAGATAGGGAGTCTCATCCAGAACAATAAAAGGAGTGCCTTGCAGGGAGTGCCTACTTAAAGCTAGAAAACGGAAATTTATGGTGCACCCAGGCAACTCAATTGTGATTCCTCCAGCTCCATCCAGCAGCCCATGAAGGAGAGATGAAGATGGAGATGATGGGAGTAATGCAGGGTTAGGGCTTGAAAAGGGATGAGCAGTGATGGGACAAGTCAGCAAGGGATTCAAAAGTAGGAGAGTGTTGGGTTAATTACATGGTTGAGATGGGTAAGGGAGGAAAGTAAAATTTCAGCAGGGATAATAGTATAATAAATATTCACGGCATTTAGGTGGTGCAGTGGATAGAGCACTGGCCCTGAAGTCACGAGGACCTGAGTTCAAATCCAGCCTCAGACCAAACACTTGACAGTTTCTAGCTGTGTGACCCTGGGCAAGTCACTTAACCCCAATTGCCTTTAAAAAAAAAAATCTTTGAAATGTAAAAAAAAAAGAAAAAAAGTTTTAGCCTGGAGAAGTATAGTTTCATAATATTTCTAGAGAAATTAAAAAGGAGGTTTTTCTTACATGAACTGATGCTGAGTGAACTGAGCAGCACCAGGACAACATTGTACACTGTAATAAGGACCATTGTTTGAGGAGCAACTATGATAGACTAAGCTCTTCTCAGCAATACAATGATCTAAGACAATTCCAAAAGACTCATGCTGGAAAATGCTATCCACATCCAGAGAAAGAACTATGGAGTCTGAATGCAGATCGAAGCATACTATTTTCTTTCTTTCTTTCTTTTTTTTTTTGGCTTTTTCTTTCTCACGGTTTCTCTCTTTTGTTGATTCTTCTTTCACAACATGACTAATGTGGAAATGTTTAATATGATTGTACATGCATAACCTATATCAGACTGCATGCCATCTTGGGGAGGGGGAAATTTGGAACTCAAAATCTTATAAAAGTGAAGGCTGAAAACTAAAAAAAAAAACTTTAAAAAAAAAAGAGAAAAATGAAGTTTTTAATGTGCTTCCCCAGGTTATACCTAGTTATAATTCCCATCAGCTCTAAGAAAAAAGTCCTTTCTTTACACAGGCCCTTGTGACCCTGCTATAGGGACAACCGTTTAGAGTTCTAGGCTCCATCTTTGTGTATTGCAACCAGAGAGATGAGACAGTACATGTGGCTGCACTGATCAGGACTTGTCTTCAGAAGTCTCAGCACCTAGAATGTTCTGAAGAATCCCCAGGATCCAGAGGTAAGGCTTCAAGGGAAGTGGGGCCTGATGAACCAATGATAATGACAATGCCACAAAGTTTGCAAAGCACTTAACAAATTTCATTTGGTCCTTACAACAACCCTGGGAGGTGGGTGCTTTTATTATCCCCATTTTATAATCTAGGAAACTGAGGTAGAAAAAGGTTAAGTGACTTGTCCAATGTCACACAGCAAATTAATGTCTGAAGCAGGATTCAAACTCGGGTCTTCCCAACAGGCCCTGTGCTCTCTCTCCCCTGCATCACCAGCTACCTGGTCTAACATCCTCACTTGACATATCAGTTAACCAAAGCCCAGATAAGTGAGATAACTTGCCTAATAAAGTCAAGAATGGGGAAAATACTCCATTCCCACCAGCCTTGGTTGGTTCTAGTCCTAGCCCTAGCCCTTCCCCCAAGAGAAAAAGCCAAGTATATAGGCTCAGCCAAGGTGAGAAGAGTCCCAAGGCCCTAGCTCCCCATGTCCTGGTCTGACCCCTAGACCTCCAAAGCATTCTTCCCTATGTCGGAACCAGAGCTTCAGGCCAAAGCCCAAACACACTCCTGTTGGGGAAGGGGAGCTCCCTTCCCAAAGCTGCCTTTGCCACAAAGCAGGGATTCTGATCCTGCTTCGGCTCCCCTAGGAATCCTTCTTCCCTGCTCTGGCCTCTAGGCACTGTAATGTAGTGGAAAGAGGCACCAGAGCACCTGAGTCTGAGTTTCAGCACAGGAAGTGTGTGACCTTGTAAGGAGCCTTGACCCTGGAACCAGAAGGCCAGAGTTTGAATTCCAGCTCTGAACACTACCAGCTGTGCGACTGTAGAGGAGCCCCCTCACTTCTCTGTCACCAGCTTCTACCTTTCTTAAATGAGGAGTCTCTACTAGATGGTCTCCAGATTCTGAGACTCCAGGATTCTCTCCAAGTATGTGTCCTCCTGTGTCAAATGTAAATAATGCTGTTTGCACCAAAGTGCTGTGTAAATACTGTGATTACTCATCATCGCAATTCTTTGTGCATGTGATTTGTTATTAATAAACCAGCCTCCCAGTGTCCCCGTTCCTTTTTGCAGGGCGGCTGCCAGAGGCTGTGGCAGAGGTATATCATATGTTAGCAGGTAGGTGGCGCAGTGGATAGAATGCCAGGCCTGAAGTCAGAAAGACGCATCTCCCAGTTCAAATTTGACCTCAGACACTTACCAGTTGTAAGACCCTGAGTAAGTCACTTAAGCCTATTTGCCTCAGTTCCTCATCTGCTAAATGAGCTGGAGAAGGAAATGGCAAACCACTTTAGTCTCTTTCCCAAGAAAACCCCAAATTAGCTCATAAAGAGTCAGACATGACTGAAATGACTGTGAAATGACACATTAAATTGTCTGGCCCAACTGCCTAGAGCCCTGAGTCTTCTGGCTGTCTGGTGGGAGGGGATGTGAAGCCAGGTCAGCCTGGCCTAACTCCTCCTCTCTATTTACCTTCCTGTGCATGTAGCTCCAGGACTGGGACAGTTCCATCTGCTCTGACATTTGCCATTTGCTATTCATCCAGCAGAAGTTCTCAGGCAGAGCTGTTGCCAGGATCTTCCATGGCATTGGTGAGAGCTGGGCCTCTTGCCCTCATAATAATGCCTGTTTGCCTTCTTGTCATTCCCCATCACTAGGACCCAACTTAATGTCCAAGGGGCTGTTCTTAGCCCCAGCTCCTCTGAGAGGAGTTCTCACTTTCTCTGGGTCCACAGGGGACATCAGCCCAGATGGGACCATTTCCATTCCCAATGTGATAGGGTGGTAATAAGCTCCTTGGTCCTGGGTCTCATGCCACTGTGCCCCATCTCATGTCCACAGGAAGCCCCTGTTACCCAGCAGAGGTGTATGGGCAGGACCGGCGATTCTGGAGGAAATACCTACACGTGAGCTTCCCCAGCCTCCTCTGCCTAGCCACAAGAGAGATTCTTGCCTGGAAGCAAGCCTGAAAGGGCCTCATCCCATCATTCCCATCAGACAGTTGCTGCCATCCTCATCGAGGAAAAGTGTTGGCCCGTCTGCTAGGAAAGAGGCATGTGGTACTGGAATGGACACAAGCCCCAACTACCATTCACTGTCTAAGAGGAGAAAGGACAATCCTCGAAGCAAGAAATAAAAAGCCCATGGATTTGTTTTTATTGATACTGAAAACAGGTCCCAGGTCCCAGCCCCAGTCTGGGGTGTGAGAAGCAGGGGATGAGGGAGTGTTCCCTTCATTTCCTTTCCTTGTTCAACCCAGGCTACTGGGAGCCAAGTCCAGATAGAGCAGGGCTACCAGAGAGAGGGCAAGGAAGAGTGTGAAGCACAGCCCCAGGCCCAGCCCATCTGCCAGGGCTCCAGCCCCTGTGGTCAGCAGCAACTTCCCCAGCAGCTCCAATGTGGCCAGAAAGCTGTAGTGAGTGGACTGGGGAGAGCAGAGGACAGAGCCTAAAGGGACCCCAAGGCCCACAATGCACCACCATTTCCCCTAACTACCACCATTCCTAACATGCAGCT